TCAACACGAATTGATCACTACACAAATATTTACTTCCAAATATGTTCAATAAGTGAAACGCTTATAGTATACATGTATGCTATAGTAACAAGAATATATCGTTACGATTATGTACGTATTGATGTGGATACTTTAGGCGGGAGCCATGCAGGTTCAATGTCGCGCACATATACGTGATGACACATGTCGCTATTTTCCTCCTCAACAACCGCTTATATATTATCTACGAAGGCTTTACATACACGCGCGCGTTAATCTGGCGTGTTGTCTGGCTGGCTTCCATGGGTTCGTCTGCCATCGATAGACACGCGGTGTGTTAACTGTCATCGCGGTAGCCATCGGAAGCCATGAACGAGGCCAGAGAGTCGATCATGTAGCAGCAGGCTGGACTTGACGTCGACATTATATACTCAACGTTCAGCGCTTCTAAATAAGACAAAACACTCAATGTTTAGCGCTTATAAATAAGAAAAATATACTCAACGGTCACCGCTTATGAGAAGAAAAAAGTGGGTTCTGGCATTCTATACAATATGTCTGTTTTATTGTACAAAGTAAATGCGGGTTTTACAAGTTACGCTGATATGGGAATACTACATGTAAATGTCTTGCAAACCATCTCATGAGGCGGCGACGCTGCAACATTACCAAGGCTTGCTAAATGTTCTTTATTTACAACGCATGAGCGGTACACAGAAATAAACTAGAAGAGGCAACAGGAAAGTACATGGCAACAGTCTAAGATGTCTATGGCAAGACAATATATTTATTAATATAATCGAGTATGATAATTGGGATAAGTTGATAACATACCGATGAAGTTGAGGATGCTGGGAGCAGCGAAGCCGTGCTGCGATGACAGAGAGAAGCTGTCATCTAGCATCGCTGACGTGTCAGCAACACGGACGACATATTCTGATTCATCTTCATTGTCCTCATAGACGCCAGCACACCGACAATCTATGCGAAGCGGCGACGTCGCTCTGTCGCCGTGTCCGTCAACGTAAGAGTCTGAGGAGCTCTCGTCGGAAGAGGAGAGCGACATATCAGAGGATGCTGTCAGGTCGGGAAGATGCTGTGTCGTGAGCATCAGTGCGCCGTCTGGGTAGGCAACGGCTAGCTGCTGCAGATAGACAGGCATCGCGTACTGAAGGCTGCAGTCGATCAGTAAGGGGTGCGTGTATCCGTGCGCCGCATCATGACAGCACTGCGACGTTACGAGCTGCTGTTGCATTTCGTCTGTTCGTAGAGCGAGTGAGTGCGTCTGTATGTCTCGTGTGTGTAGAGCGTTGTGCAGTGACTGCCGTCGGCGGAGGGCGTGTCGTTTATAAGCGTGGCGTCGAGGACACGGATGACTGGTCGTCGGCAGCGACGACAGCGCCACCGCGTCACGTCGGCGTCGTCTGCGGCACGGCTTCACACGTCACACGTCAACGCCACACGTTGTCGGCGAAGTCGGTACTTTACGATCAGACGAGCCGACGGCAGCCGCCACACACGTGCCGCGACCTCTGTCGGCTGGACATTAGACACGCGTTAGTGTGGACCGTTAAGAAACCACACACGGCATCGTTACATGTATGTTGTTGTTGCTGTTGTTGTTGTCATCAGCGAGGGCTGCGCGCGCGCCGTGTAGTAACGCACCAGCTATAACAATGCTGACNGCTCATGACACAGCATCTTCCCGACCTGACAGCATCCTTTGATATGTCGCTCTCCTCATCCGACGAGAGCTCCTCAGACTCTTACGTTGACGGTCACGGCGACAGAGCGACGTCGCCGCTTCGCATAGATTGTCGGCGTGCTGGCGTCTATGAGGACGATGAAGATGAATCAGAAGATGTCGTCCGTGTTGCTGACACGTCACCGATGCTAGATGACAGCTTCTCTCTCTCATCGCAGCACGGCTTCGCTGCTCCCAGCATCCTCAACTTCATCGGTATGTTATCAACTCATCTCAATTACGCCATTATTATTACTACTACTATTAATTACTAACTAATAATGACTAAATTACGCCATTATATAAATAAATATCTTGTCTTATCATAAATATCTTACACTGTTACCATGTATTTAGTTGATTTTTGTGTGTTTCTTATGAGTTGTAAATAAAGAGCACTTATAGTAGCACTTAGTAATAGCTTTTAGCACTTAGTAAGCATTGAAAATGTTGCGGCGTCACCGCATAATAAGGTGGTTCGAAAAACATTCAGATATCAAATTAACTTGTGAACCCCCATTTCCTTTGTACAATAAAACAGAAATATCTTATAAAATGTCTTATTATAACTTAATAATTTATATACGCCAAATATTGTCTTTTTTTTGTCTTATTTATAAGCACTAAACGTTGAGTATTTTTTCTCCTTTATAAGTACTAAACATTGAGTATTTTTGTCTTATTTATAAGCGCTAAACATTGAGTATTTTTGTCTTATTTATAAGCGCTAAACATTGAGTGTTTTTGTCATATTTAGAAGCGCTGAACGTTGAGTATATGATATCGACGTCAAGTCCAGCCTGCTGCTACATGATCGACTATCTCGCCTCGTTCATGGCTTCCGATGGCTACCGTGATGACAGTTAACACACCGCGTGTCTATCGATGGCAGACGAACCCATGGCAGCCAGCCAGACAACACGAGATGGTTTATTACACGAGTATTAACGCGCGCGTGTGTGTTATGCATTCGTTGATGATATATAAGCGGTTGTTGAGGAGGACAATAGCGACATGTGTCATCACGTATATGTGTGCGACTTTGAACCTGGCTACCGCCAAAAGCATCCACATCAATGCGTACATAATCTTAGCGATATATTCGTGGCATTATAGCATATACATGTATACTATCAGCATTTTACTTAATGGACATGTGAAGGAGTAAATATAATTTTGTGTAGTGATCAATTCGTGTTGATATAGTGCTATAATTTACTCACTATCATATGTCTGTATAGAACAATAAAGCATACGTTGTAAGCAACGTGAGTTGCCAACCATTGTACTTTAATCATCATAATTATAGTGTAAATACGAAGAAGTAAATTCCGCATATATGTATATATGTCTCTATAGAAATTTTGAATAATAAAATATTGCTATCTTACTATAAATTATATTTTTTTCTTCCTGGCATTGCATGTAAGTCGGTAAACGTGGAATGTGACAATATGTGACCGCGGCAGTGCAAAATACATACACGCAGTAAAATTAAGATTAACAGATACACTATATGAGGCTCATATGCAATGATGAGAGACGAATTACTATTGACAGCTTACATATAAAAAATACTCGCGAAGTTGCGGTCTCTACTATATACGTATATTTCTTTTCTTTTTACTATTATTCTGTTATATTGGATATTTGTCAACAACGTTAAGACGCATATACAATGTTGTGATATTATACAAAAATACGAAACATAAACGCACAAACGGACGTTTACAGGCACGCACACGTCCGCTACCCTCGTCTATCTCTCTCTCCCTCTCTTTCTGATTTCTTTATTTGCCTGTCGAACTCTTTATTTCTCCCCCTCTCTCTATCGGGGGTGTGTTCGCGCGCATGCGTGAGAGCCAAAACCCTGCTTATCACAAAGTACATTCTATGTTTAATTTCAAGCTCCACGCATGAGAGGCATGTGACGGCTCACTGTCAGATAGTAGCCCATAGAATGGATGGGATTCGGGGGGATGGACGACTACACAGAGAATGTGTTGATGTGTCGGGACCGGTCAGTACGAGTGTCCATCGTTAGCGACACAGCTGCAGTGGTCAGTGCGTCTACGTCGGCACGGCTTTATATCAGCGTTGTCGAGCGAAGTCGGTACTTTACCATCAGACGAGGCCGGACGCGCAGCCGCACAGCACACGTGCGCGGCGACGCTCTGTCGCTGGAACATTGGACGACGCGTGTGTCCACGCGTTATGTTGTACCGTTAACGAACCGGACAGGCAGCATTGTTATAGCTGGTAGCGTTACTACAGCGGCGCAACGCGCAGACCTCGACTGATGAACAACCAACGGACAACAACTACAAAAGAAAAAAAAAAAAAAAAGAAAAAAAAAAAAAAGAAAAAAAAAAAGGCAAACAACAATAAACAGGCAACATACCTGTAACAGCTGGCCGCCGTGTTAACGCATGCACTGTAAGGCGCAGTATCACGTTGATGTGATATATACGTTGCAGTCTTGAATTACTTGCAGCTTTCAGTTTTGTAGTAACAAAGGAAATGACGGGCATATCTGTATTCGGATGTAATATAACTACCACAATTGTGTTCATATTCCAATAATTCTGACTTGGTTTTTTCAGTGTCAGCATATTTTCTAAGAAGACATGCAATTAACCCACTATCAGCGCAGTAACTACGGAAATATCCGCAAACTACACCAATTACAACTATGAAGAAACTGTCAGAGGCAAAGATGTCATCTCATCATGCGCCTTAGGCTATATCGTATAGTCTGGATATCATCATAACTTTACTGAGTGCAGATATTAAATTTGAATGAACTGATACGTTAAGTAAGAGACGAGCTTTTGTAATAATGTTGACTCGTTTACTTGCGTATAGAGTTGTAAGTATTTTATACCGTCGCGGTCACACTACACTTTACGTTCAGCCACACTTACATGCAAGGCTAGAAAGGAAAACAAAATTTATGGTAAGATCGCAATATTTTATTATTCAAAATTTCTATGCAGGCATACATATATGCGATATTGAATTCTTCGTATTTACACTATATGCTAATGGTTGGCAAGTCACGTTGCTTACAACGTATGCTTTATTGTTACATTGTTCAATAGAGACATATGATAGTGAGTAAACTATAGAACTATGTCAACACGAATTGATCACTACACAAATATTTTCTCTCTCATATGTCCAATAAGTGAAACGCTTATAGTATACATGTATGCTATAGTAACACGAATATATCGTTACGATTATGTACGTATTGATGTGGATACTTTAGGCGTTAGCCAGGTTCAAAGTCGCGCACATATACGTGATGACACATGTCGCTATTGTCCTCCTCAACAACCGCTTATATATCATCAACAACAACATACCTGTAACGATGCGGCGTGTCAACGATGCATTGTAGCGGGAGGTTACCTATTATGTTCTATCTATGTATAGATCTCTCATTGTGTCACCCGTAGCGGAACGTCGCCGGTTTTGTTGGTAATGTTTTCCTGAGGCAACGAAAAGGAACAGGTGCCGTATTCTGAAGATAAATAACTTAAATTGTGATGTAGTTTTATTCGTCATAAATCATGAAGAAGTTTGACGTTGGGGATAGTTTTAGCTGTAACGATGCCGTGTGTCAACGATGTATTACAGCGGAAGATTACCTACTATGTTCTATTTATGTATAGATCTCGCATTGTGTCACCCGTAGCGGGGTGACGTTGGTGATGTTATGATATGATGCAGGCTTTCCAGCAGTCCCTGACAACATTTTAGGGCTAATTTTAGGGAGAAATTAAGGTTTTTTTAGGGCTATTTTAGGAATTTTTAGGGATGAATCGAAACATTTTAGGGATAAAATAAGTCACTTACCTTTCATAAACATCAACATGTTAACTTACAGATACAGTTCTATGTGGTATGTGTCCAGTGTACCAGCTATTCCTATCCTCCAAGTCCTCGATACGACTGTACATCATCAAGTTCCATGCAAATTAGGCATGTCTTGTACATCCAGCCAGGAACAGGGTCGTATAATCAGACACTGAAGCTTA